ACCCCCTCGTCCAAATCACTGATGAAGATGTTGAACAGTGCAGGCCCGAGGACTGAGCCCTGGGGGACCCCACTGCCCACATCCCTCCAGGTTGAAAAGGACCCATCCACTACCACTGTCTGGGTGCAGCCCTCCAGCCAGTTGGCAACCCAATTGACTGTGTGGGTGTTGACACCACAGTCCCCCAGTTTCTTAATGAGAACGGGGTGAGAGACAGTGTCGAAGGCCTTTCGAAAGTCCAGGAAGACTACGTCCACTGCTACCCCTGCAGCTAATGATTTGGTGATTTGCCTTACTTCTCTATGATTCTGCGATCCCTCTATTTCACCTCCTGCCCTTCAGCCTCCTTCCAGAAATGTGGGAGACCAAGGCTTGCTACTGGCAGGGCTAGGTTTGGTTCCTCCTCGGAGATGCATTTGATCTATTTCAGTCTCACCCCAGAGGTGCTTTAGCTCATGAAACAACCACCTCTTACCAAACCAGCTCCGTAAAGAGATGGACTTCCAGCTCGTGTTGAGGTACATCTGCAGAAGAAACCACGTTCCAGCCAGCGTGCACGCCATGACCACCACCCGGAGCACACCTGCCAGGGCATGGGGAGAAGGTCACGTTATGGTGCGGCGCCGTGGAGCGGCCTTGCCCTGGCATTGGGGAGTGGGGGTTCGGTGTCGTGCAGTGCTGTGTGCCGGAGAGCAGGAGTCGGGGAGCTGTGCTTGGAAGGCTACGCAGGCCTGCTCTCCTCTTCCAAATGCCAGGTGCAAGCAGTGGGCCTGTAGGCCGGGGCCCTTCCTGCCCTCGGCCAGTTACTGCAAGCTGCTCTTGGGAGAGGGGAGTGAATTGCTGGTAGAAATCCTGCCCAGCTTTGAAGGCAATAATGGGTCACACTCCTCTGAGAGACGCATTGTGCAGGGAAAGCTGTCCAGGCCTCGGGTTTGTGAGGGACTGAGCACAGGGTGGGACTCGGTGGCCTTTGCTGTGCAGGAAGTCAGCCTGGCAGGTGGTGAAGGTCCCTCTCAGGTAAAAGGCACGGTGTGACAGCAGGACATTACTGCTGCTGTTCTCTGCATTCACCTAAACCTGATAATGGGTTAAAAAGCCATGGAAATGCAAGTGTGTCTTGAATTCCCCGAGCTGGGAGGCTCGCGAACCCCCAGTTAGTCAGTAGGTCCAGCCGACCAGCTGTTCATAAAAGTGTGATTGGCACTGGATTTTACAGCAAGGCTCAGTGGAGCACAGCGTTCCTCTCCTGCCATAGAAATGTGATTGAAGGCAATATTTATATTGCAGTTGAATGGCTCTTATGGAACCAGGGACCTCTCAGTAGTCATCTCCCACCCCCGGGCGGGGGGGGATTTCATTTGTAAAAGTACAATGAGCTGCAATATAGAAAGTTATTTTAAAAATAAGGCTCTGTACTCACACTGAGGCCCTTCTGCACACCCCTGGCTGCGCCGGGTGGGTGTCAGGGTGTTTCAGAAGTGCTCATGTGGAGGAGAAATGGGCCCAGAGAATATGAACAAGGGGAACGTTTTGTGCTTGTTCTGAAAGGCACAGCTCCATTTCCTCTTACCTGTCAGCCCCATGGTAGGACTTGGGTGCGGTGAAATGAGGGCAGTGATCAGAGATTGTGAGTCGACCTGCAGAAGCAGAAGAAACAGGTATTAAACACATAACTGTTACCCAGATAAAAGCGATGAGTGTCGGGTGAAAGGTGGTGAAACTCCTGCCCTCCACGGGCACTGAAGACATCACCAGCAGCAGACACACCAGTGCCACAGCCACAACGCTGACAAAGCCAGACTTATTTCAAGCAGCCTCAGGAACTGGGGAGCATGTTTGCACGGTGAAGAAGGCTGATAGACAGGTCTGCCCAGGGGCACGTAGGGAGGTGGCAGCAGAACCAAGATCTTTTCCTTTCACATCCAGTCTCCGTGTAACCACCAGCTTGGCCCCCCACCCCAAGAGGGCAGGTTCCAGCTGCTGAGCACAGAGCCGGCCTTTCTCCCCGGTCCCATCCTCCCAGCAGAGTTTGGAGCAGTGCAAAGACTGCTGCAGTTTCACTTTTGCTCACCACTAATAGTGAAGTGTGGCACAGAGGGGTAGCACAGCCCTTTGCTCACCTAAGCTGAATGCATGACAAAAATGTGGTTTCCATTTCCTTATCTGCTGGCAAGAAGGATGCCCTACCTTGGCTTTGCCTGCTTGCATCGTGCTTTCGTTTACTAGGGACAGGATGTTTGCTAAGCAAACACTGGTCACATTATAGCCCACTACCATAGGCTTTGGTTCTGTTGACAGAGGAAAGGAGGAGTCCTGTTCCCTCCAGCAGGTGTATCTGAGGTTGAAGCAGACATGTGAGACAAGTTTTCCCATACAGTGTCCACTGTTAAGGAAAGAAAAAAGGAGGAAGTCTTCCCCCCACAATGTTTGTTTTACAGGATGCCACCATTAATCAAGGAAACTTGGAAATTGGTTGGTGCCCCGTGATGGGCCATGGCCGAATCCCGTTAAACACTAGATTGTGGAATCCGAAGGCCCTCTGCCAGGTTGTAGCTGTCTGCCTATCCTTTCCATAGCTACGACAACCCTTTAGCGCTGGTTCAGCTGTCTCATGGGTATTAAGAGGAGCAATGAAAACTCTTTGTCTTCACTTCAGAGTTGATGCCTCATTTCTCATTCAGTTTCAAGAGGCCAGGACATGATACCTGCTTCTGTAAGGGTAACTAGAGTCTGGAGCACGCTCCCAGCAGAGGTGGTGCAGTCGCCATCCTTGGAGGCGGTCAAGAGGAGGCTGCACAACCACCTCGTTGAGCTCGCTTGAGCCTGATAACCTACCCATGGCAGGGGACCGGACTTGATGATCTTGCGGTCCCTTCCGGTCCTTTGATTCTATGATTCTATCATTTACTTGTGACATGAGACAAGCCCCTCCGTGCTTTCTCCCACACTGCCCCTGTTTTGGGGAGGAGCTCCCCAAACATCCTCAAAGCCACTTACCACTACCTACATACCCCTCTTGAGAGTCTCCTTTGCTGTGACGCCTCCTGAAACCTCACCAGTGATGGGAATTACTGGCAAACAGACAAACCCTGCACACACTTGGGAGCTACCAGTCTCGGCAGCCAGAGCTGCACACCTGCCCCGGTGTAGGACAGGAAACCCCACTGTCCTCCGGACCCGCCTGTCCAGCTCAGCAGCTTGTCTGAAATGTGAGTCTGGCCTCGTCCCTGAAGTTTCGCTTCATGGAGCACTGATGGCATGAAGGTTTCCAGTGCTCTCAGGACACTTTACAAGCCTCACTTATCTTTAGAGTGATATTTAAATGACATCTGCCCCAAATGCGATGAACGGCATGTTTGCCGAGGAGAGATATCAAATACAGCAGGTGTTTACCCCTGCTTTGCACAAGGACTGTAATAAAGGGCAGGCTTGCGAGGTCTGTACGTGCTGTGCTGATGGCGATGGTGCAGCCGGCCAGTGCAAGCTGAACTATGATGAGGAGACGCATTCAGCACACAGGCAGCTCTCAGCTGCTGACAGCTCTGGGCACTGCTGCCCCGGACTGGCTTTCAGGCAGCGATGCAGGGATGGAAGGAATGATAGCTCATGGCAGCTTTCCAAAAGCCATCCAGTCCCTCCCCTAAGGAATTTTTACAAGGGGTAAGCCTCCACTTTCACCATTTGTGCTTCCCTTGTGCCAGCAAGAGTTCCTCTTGCAAGGCTGATCGAGGAGCGGCACTGCACATATGTCTGCAGGGGGCTTCCTGGGCAGGCTGCTGGCCAGGGCCAGGTACTTGCACTGAGCCAGTCTCATCTCTCGCCCTGTTTGCTTCATCCCTGCTGTGGTTCTGTCTGCTGCAGACACTCCTTCCCCGGCAGCGTGCTCCTCCGCGTTCCAGGTTATAGCCGTGTGCAGGCCACAGCAGCGCCTTGGAAACCCAGGGCTCAGCGAGGCTTGAGAGGGCTGAGGAGAACTTCTCTGTTCAGAGGCAGGTCTGAGCTGGAGGACGGAGCCAGCTTGGCAGGTCTTGCAGCGAGCCGCAGCCACCTCCCGGCCTACATGCTGCTTTCAGGGCTCTCACCCCGTGGCATGCTGGAGATGGGCAGTTCAGCCCTGGTGTGGAAATGCCCCAGTGCCTGGCAGCTCCTACTGTACCCAGCAGAGCATCAGCACATTGGCCCCAGTTTACCTGAGCCTAGAAAGCCCAATAGGCCAGCGTGCTAAGGCATGGCAGCTTGAGGAGCACATGGCACACCAGAGAGGAGCGGGACCAGCACTGCAGCTGTCTGCCTCTGAGTGCCCAGCCCAGCCTGCTGGACACTCACGTGTGGGCTCCCTTTGGCACAAGCCCAGAGCAAGGCTCAAACCCACACTTTGGCACCCACAACAAGAAACAGCTCTGTCAACGCATCCACCCTTACAGAGCAACAGGGAAATAGAGAGCCTGCGAGCCAGCACGTGGCACCACTTCAGGCAAGTTGTTTGTTTCTGCTGTTTTCCTCTGACTTCATCTCCAGTGAAACTCCTTGCCCCCCCCCCCGGTGAAGTCCATAGACTGTCATCCAGCTGTGCCAGGGATAGTCGTGTCTTGCTCTTTTGTAACTGCATGGTGGATCTTTGGAAGAGACCCCACTGCAAAAACAGTTCCCTTGACAGTATAATAGGAAGCTGCCATCTGGTGACAAGGGAAGGAGGAAGTTGTGGAGGATGGCAGGAGGCAAGTGACTGAGCAATTAAAACACTTTCCACGGATGAGAAGGTTCCTTCACTGGTATGACCTGTGCACTGGGCTTCTGTATTTAGGATTCCTGTCACCACCTGGCACCAGTGGGACCCTGTCTCCTAGGTCCTGGACTCTTCCCCAGTTGTGCTGACTGTGTTCAGTCATTATGAGGAGAAACAGGAGAGTATTTGCCCCCTCCCTCGGAGTGTGTCAGAGATGCAGCCCTCCAGTTTGTGGATGTTCCCATGCTCTGCTCAGTGCCGGAGGAAAGCCCTATTTGGCTCCCTCAACAAAGCATGCCTTCTTCCCCCCCCCACTTCCTTATGTAGTGGCTGAATTTGTCTCTCTCGAGCAGGATGAGGACCTTCACATAGTAAACTGGTTGTGGGTCCACTGCTGAGGTTTGTGTAATAGCATCAGGGAGGAAGAGGGAAAGATGAAGAGGACATACTACTGGAAGAGGAGAAATGCTGTGGGCTTCATGTTGCAGGTAGAAAATGTTGTGCTCTGAGCTGGCTGCAATAAGGATTTTCCTGTAAAAGCAATCCAGAAGAGTAGCCCAGACAAAATGTAGGCACCACCCCTGAGCTTGTCTTGCTCGCCTTACGCTGATGTGACCCGGCTGCATCACTTGCTGGATGATCAGGTTGGGCCTGTCCAGCTCTCCTCTGTTAGCTGCTGCAGGGAAGACATGCAGGTGTGTGGCTGGTGGCTGAGGGAGTGATGAGGGTGTGGGGTCTCAGAGCCAGCGTCCAAACCAGCAGAAGGGCGCTGCAGCGTGATTGCACAAGGCGCTGTACTGAAAACTGTCCTGTCCTACAACACAGTTGCTGCCTTCCCTTTAGCACTGGGAAGAGAGGCCAGGAGCTTAGCAGGATTTGGGCGGCTATGTGGAAAGCCAATCTAGAGTGATAACGCTTCACTTCAGAAAGCCAGTCAGCCTTAGAGGAGGGACAGGGACACTCATGCTTAACTCAGTTGCTAATTACTCTGAGGAAACTTTCTACCTCTGTGTGTCTTCCTGCACCTTCCTATAAAGCTACTAGTACTGCTCGCTGTCAGAGCAGGATGGACCTTGGCGCAGAGTGAGGCTTGCAGCTGCTTCCCCATCCTTGGCACACTCAGTGCCCAGCATGTTCTGCCCAGCGTTTATTAGACTTGGTGACAAAGCAAGAAGAAAGCCAAAGGGGACGCCAGCATTAATACAAATACCCAGCACAGCCACCCATTTCTGGAAGTTGAAATAATAAGTCATGAAGGAGTAACAGGCAGAGCATACAATAAAAAAGTCAGGGAATCAGAAAAGGGAAACCAGTGCCAAAGCAGACCTATCAGGACTTGATGCACAGCACCACTACCACCACGCTGCACAGGGCTCCTGCCCCTGAGAGTGCAAGATTTAATGGCCTGTCCCTTTGGCTTGGGCTGTGGCTCATGTGCTGACTGCCACTATGACGAGCCCTCGGATAGAGGAGTCAGGTGAAGGAGGATTGCTCCAACCAGCCATAAGGTCTGGAAGTGCAGTACAGAGAGTGAGTGAAGAGTGATCTGGGACTGGGTGGCTTCTGTGAAGGGGAAAGGCCAGGTCCCTGGGGCCTGCCCCACTCTGGGATACGTTAGAGAAGCCTCCACGCTCCCAAGCGAGAGAGCAGTAGCTGAGAAGTGCCACAAAGCTGCCGCTTGCCAGTCTGCTCCCCTTCCTGCTACGTGGGGCAAGACCAGGGGATGAGTGGATGTCGCAGGGGGCAGCTGCGTTGTTCCAAGTGTTCACGCTCTGGTGCATGTGACTCTAACTCGTGGCGGGGCTGTGCCTGGCCCTGGGAACCGGGGAGCTGGAAATGACTCCGCACAAAGTGCCGGAGGGCTGTGCAGAACGGCCAGGCACCAATCCACGCCCTTACTCTCAGCTCCGATCAGCCTTAACTGAGAGCATTGTCGATGGTGATATGATAAGACCTTTCTTGTAAGACAGGGAGAGTTGGATATTTTGGCAGAGTGGTATTTCCTCTGGCCTGTGATGGCTGCTCTCCATACTCAACACCAGCATTTCCTGGGACCCCTGCCCCTGCTGACCCTCCTGCTTGTTTGTTCCTGCCTTCTCCTTTCGGGGGCTGAGATTATAAGCTCTAGTGGGGAAAGTACAGCGCTTTCTGTTGCACGTGTGCAGAGTCCTTAGCACAGAGAGGGCCTGATCCCTGCGTGAGAAGTTTGGGCCCAAGAGAAAGGCAAAGAAATAAAATCCATATTGGAAGCCTGACCGCGGAGCCGCCACAAACAGCACTTTTCTAGCACTTCCCCTGGTACTAAGAAACCCGCGTTTCTTTTAGAAATACTTCTGGTGCTCCTCTGGCATCAATAATGGATAAAGACACCTGATACAGAACATACATCACACAACAGATTGTGTCTCCAGTTATTCAGTCAGCAGGCAGAAACAGAAACCGGGCATGGCTTTAACACTTGCTCTTGCAACAACCGTCCATGTGTAAAGTTACCCTGTCCAGAACCTGCCCTAGAGACCACAGTGCTAGAAACCTGGAGCATCGACCACAGAGAAGGGAACGGCAAGAAGACCGCCCATCGACAAGTTATAACCAGCAAAAAGTGAACTAGGAAGTTAACAGAAAAGCCTGCTGTTTTACTCATAGAAACTCTCACTCATATATTTTTTAGAGTAACACAAGAGCTCTTTTGCAGGCTGGATTCAAATATACATACCAGGCAGAGTGGCCCGGGTGTGCCTTCATCTTCTCATGTCTCTCTGTCCGGACACCTTTGTTACTAACCTCAGCAATCAGTGTGCTGTGTGGCAGACTCCTTTGCATAGCCCAGCCCTTGTGTGAATCGCTACAAACGCCTGCCCTGTGAATCGCCCTGTTGATCTTGTAAGTGTCAAGCAAACTGCAGGCAGCAAAACACCTCCAAGATAAAGGAAAGAATGAGGAAGTCTTTGTGGCTGCTCACCAGGAAGCTCAGCTCTGCCCTGAAAAATCCATGTGCACACAGAGAGATCGGTCACAGATATTGAGCTTGTGCATGACTAATACCTTGCCTTTGTTCTCTGCCTGTGTTCACTTGCCTTTCACCCATCTCTTGCTGAACTTCTTACTCCAGGAAGTTGTTCAGCTGTGCTAGGACCTCATGTAGTCTGCATGGTTCAGGTGTAGGGAATTACCATGGGGATTGCAAGAGGTAGCACAGAGGGACATATGTATGCAAATGTGTGCTCACCCAGCAGGACTCACTGGGTGTGGAAGCACTTCCCTAAGCAAGTGATTCCAGGATCAGGCCTCAAATGTGTGTTGAGAGGCAAAGCTTCATCTCTGCAGGATGCCCTGGCCACTTCTCAACGTGACCATGTCACTCTGAGAGTGAGGACAAAGCCTACGTACGGGCAAGTGGCCCAACATGTGCTGCACCTCTGGAAAACGTAGAGGTTTTTTCTCGTGTTAAGTGAAATGGCACTCAGGTGTCAGGAGAGGAAGCGACACCAAAGAAGGGCATTCGTGGTGGCCGCTGGGGTGTGGGAAGCCCCCCTTGGAAGCCCGAGTGGTGTGCCAGCCGGAGGGGCAAGTGTCTCACTCCTGGTTGCTTTTTGGCTGTTCACATCAAGGATCAGTTGGTGTCTTGATTAACTGGGATGCTGTGAGACAAGGCAGAGGCTTTCCTTGGCCGCTCACAGTCCAGCCTGTGAGAATCAGGAGTCAGCCCACTCCCGTCAGCAGTTTCCCTGCCTTTGTGCAGGTGCAGCTGCGAGACTCTCAGGTGTCCTTCTGGAGCGAGTATCTATTAGTTCAGAAACACAGCGTGTGCTGACTCTTAAAGGGGAGATGAGAAGATATATATTTGGGCAGGCTTTTGAAAGCGTTTGGTGCTATTACTACATCTCGGATGGCAGAAATGACTCTCTGGAGGGAGACAGGATCTTCTGTTGACTGCACGCAGCATCTGTCTCCCCAAGCCCAGTGCTCACCTCCCTGGCGCACAGTGCAAGAGTGTCCCCACTTCCTTCCTCATTCCCACCACTTCAGAGGAGCCAGGTGGATTCATCTGGAGGTTCCCAAAGTAGTTTTCAGCATGACCACACAGACAGCAGATTTCAGCTCCAGCAAAGTTGTACAGGCAGGAGCAGGGCAGGGAAGAGGAAGACAGCTGACGTCACCTTCACCGCAGCAGCATGGCAGGCCTGGAGAAGTGAGAGGCTGGGCCTCTGACATACGGCGTTCAGGAGCAGCACCTGGTCTGTGGCGGATACTTCACTGTGATTAGCAGTTTAAAAGTGCAGGCTCTTTTCTGGGACATGCACAGATTTTGCAATGTGTTCTTTATTTCCTGTTGATCCAGGGCCTTTGCTGACATTTCTTTCCCCCAAATGAATGTTACTGTGGGCATTTTATCAGTGCACTTAGTCACAGCAGGCACCATATAACCTCCTGAAGGCAGTGGGCCCTATTCTCTTGGACTCTTGGCGGGAGGGTCTTGCCCATCCGCTCAGGGTCAGACCAACGCTGCATTTGGGGTCAGGAATAAATTTTACCCCATGGTGTGATAAGTACGGGGGTAGGGGGCTTTCTGCCTTCCGCTGTAGCAGAGGGCTTGGCCCTCTTCCTTGGCTTTCTTGAGGGTATATTAACAACATT